CTGCTCCTGCTCCTGCTCCTGCTCCTCTCCTCCTTCTGCTCCTCTCCTCCCCCTTCCTCCTCCTCCTCGTCCTCCTCCTCCTCCCCTCCTCCTCCCTCCTCCTCCTCCTCTCCCTCCCTCCTCCTCCTCCTCCCCTCCTCCTCACTCCCCTCCTCCTCCTCCTCCTCCTCCCTCCTCCTCCTCCTCCTCCTCCCTCCTCCTCCTCCTCCTCCTCCTCCTCCTCCTCCCTCCTCCCTCCTCCTCCTCCTCCTCCTCTCCTCCTCCTCCTCCTCCTCCTCCCCTCCCTCCTCCTCCTCCTCCTCCTCCCCTCCTCCTCCTCCTCCCTCCCCCTCCTCCTCCTCCTCCTCCTCCTCCTCCTCCCTCCCCCCTCCTCCTCCCCTCCTCCTCCTCCCCCTCCTCCTCCTCCTCCTCCCCCTCCTCCGCAGGGGTATCCCTCTCGGCAGGTGGCAAGCGAGGGTGACAGGGCCCGGGTTGTGTGTTCTGCATTGGCGATCACCCGCGATGCACTCCTGCGCCCATGCACACCGTCGCCCCGCCTCGCCGCCCACGCTTCTCGGAGGCGGGGTGGGGGGTGGGGTGCTTGGGGTTGATGAAGGGGGTGGCGTTTGGGGTTGATGAGGGCGGGGTTGCGAATGGGATATGGGCGTGGGGATAGGAAATGGGGATGGACAGGTCAGGAGGCCGGAGGGGGGGGGGGTGAGGGGGGAAAACGTAGATGGGGAGAGGTAGTGGGGATAGGAAAGGAAACGACAAGAATAGGAGTGGGGATAGGACAGGAGGGGGGGGGAGGGAGGGGCCGGGTGACGGAGGCTAGCGTATGTGTGCGTGCGTTTTCGTGAATAATTAAAGACATCGGGGGAGTGAAGGAGGAGTCGATAAATCAGGGAGCGGAGGACGACAGGAAAACGCGGTTCAAACTTACTCGCAAGTCACGTGATTCTTTTTTTTTTTTTGACGTCTGCGGGTGTCTGTTTTTGTGTCTGTGTTGGCTGTGTATATCGGTCTGAGTCTGTCTGTTTGCCTGTCTGTCTCTGTCTGTCTTGTCTTTCTGTCTGTCTCTTTGTGTTGTGTGTGTGTCTGTCTGTTTGTCTTGTCTGTCTGTCTGACTGATTGCTTTCCTCTGTTTATTGTTTTCGGGGCTTTTAGGCAGTTGCTTGGGGACTGTGAAAAGGGGAAGAGGAAAGGAAAGGGAAAGGGGGATGAGAGGAGGATAGGAAGGGGAATAGGAGGGGGATGGGGAAGGGGAAATGGAACGGGAAAGGGAGGGGGAAGGGTAATGGGAATGGGAGGGGAAAGGGCAAGGGGAAGGGGAGTGGTAGGGGGAGGGGGAGTCTATCGCCGTCGACACCGGGATGTATCAAGTACCGCGAGTCTAAATATTTTGTCTGGTGTCGATTTTTTAATCCATTTTCTTTTCTTTTCTCTTTTTCTTTTCGTTATCTTTTCATCGTCTGTTAAAGCTTGGTTGGTGTGACATTTCTGCGAGGGGAGAGGGGAAGGATGGAACAGGGGAAGAGGGGATAGAGAGGAAGAGGGGGTGGAAGGAAGAGGAAAAGAGGGGAGAAAGAGGAAGAGAGAAGAGAGGAAAGGGGAAAGATGGGAGAGGGAAAGAGGGAAGGGAGGAAGAGGGAAAGAGGGAAGGGAGGAAGAGGAGAAGAGGGAAGGGAGGAGGAGGGGAAGAGGGGGGGGGGAGAGTAGAGGGAAAAATGGGAGAGAGGAGAAGAGAAAAGCTGGGAGTGAGGAAGAATGGGGAAGAGGAAGAGGGAAGATGGTAGAGAGGAGAAGAGGGAAAGATGGGAGAGAGGAGAAGAGGGAAAGATGGGAGAGAGGAAGAGAGGAAAGATGGTAGAGAGGAAGAGGGGAAGAGGGAAGTCAGAGGAAGAGGGAAGCGAGGAAGAAGGGCCAAGGGGGAACGGCGAACAGCACGCGGCAGCAGGCAACGTGGCCAGGAAGCCGCTGTATACGCCGTGGTGGAGGTCGCTCGCTCGCTCGCTCAGGCACAGGCTTCGATTTTGGCGGTTTTGTGTTCCTGCTTTTTTTTAGATGTCGTTGTTGTCGTTATCGTTATTATCGTGGTCATTATTGTAATTGTTGTCATTGGTATTATTAGCGTTATTTTTTCATTTTTATTGTCGTTGTTTTTGTTTGCTTGTTTTTTTTGTATTCATGTTGTTATTTGATATTGTTGTTAGTATGATACTAATCATTATTACTATTATTATTATTGTTATTATTTTCATTATTATCATCATTATTATTGTTTTAGTGTTATTATTCTTATATGCTATGATGCGTTCCTGTCTTACCCCTTCTACTCTTAATAGTAATCAAGTGACAGTGCGAGTTTGGGTTCGCTGAGATTTACAAAAGTTTGTTTTTTCGCGTTTTCGACAAGTTGAGGAGCACGTGCGGGAGGAGCGGCGAGTGTGCATTCGTAATTCTAGTTCTCGCTTCCTTCCTCCTCGCTTTATCTTTAGGTTTTTAACTCCTCCCGTCTTTTCGGTCTTCTTCTTTTTTTCTTTTTTCCCCCCCCCCTCCCTTGCTTCTCTTTTTCTCTGTTTCCCACTTCCTTCATCGTTTCCCTTCTCTTTAATTTCCTCTGTTCCCCACTTCCTTCATCGTTTCTCTTTCTCGCTAATTTCTCTTTTCCCCACCTCCTCATCCTTTCCCTTCTCTCTCATTTCTCTTTTTCCCCCCACCTCCTCCCACTTTCTCACCCCCCTTTTCTTTGATACTCATTTCACCTCCTCATCCTCCCCCTCCCACTTCCTCACCCCCATCCTTCTCACTCATACTCATCTCACACCTCATCTTACTCATCGTCCCCCTCCCCCTCCCCCTCCCACCTCATTTCCCCTCCTTCCAACCCCTCATCTTTCGGGCGTCTCATTATTGTAGTCGGGGGGGGGGAGGGGGGGAATTTATGCGTATATCGATTAACTTTCGTTCGAGGGAGAAATGGAATGGCAGAGGGATGGGGGAGATGGAGATGGAGGTGGGGGTGGACGGTGGAGGTGGGGTGGGGGTGGGTGGGTGGAGAGGGAGAGGGAGGGGGAGGTGGGGTTGAGGTTGAGGTGGGGGTGGAGGTGGGGGTGGGGCTGGAGGTGGAGGTAGAGGTGGAGGCGGGGCGGAGGTGGAGGCGGGGGGAGGTGGAGGTTGAGGGGGGGTGTGGAAATGGAAATAAAGATGAATATGAAGAGGGGAATGGAGAGGAAGCGAGGTAAGGAAAGTGAGAGGGAGAGTAAAGGAAGAAAGGAGAAAAGAAGAGAAAGAGAAATGAGGATAGAAAGAGTTAGAGGAAAAAGAGGGAGAAGAAGAGGAAGAGGAGGGGGAGGAGGAAAAAGAAAGGATAGAGATGGATAGATGAGGGATAGATGTATGAGAGAGAGAGAGAGAGAGAGAGAGAGAGAGAAGAGAGAGAGAGAGAGAGAGAGAGACAGACAGACAGACAGACAGACAGACAGACAGACAGACAGACAGACAGACAGACAGACAGACAGACAGACAGACAGACAGAGACAGTGAGCTAGAGAGAAATAGAAGAGAGAGGGAGAGCAAAAGAATCGCCCTCCCCGGCAAGACAGCGAGGCGATTGGTGGCGGCGGAAGGCGGCTTCGAAGCTGTTGCCAGGGTGCGGAGGCAGAACCGCGGCGCCCGCACCCGAGGGCAAACATTGATCTGTGCGTTTGTACTTAACGCTCAGGTGAGGCCACAGTGTCTCCCCCGCGCCCACGGAATGGCAGGTGATGGGGCTCGTGGGCGGGACGGGACGGGGAAGGGAGGGAGGAAGGAGGAAGGGAGGGAGGAAAGGGAAGAGGGAAGGAAGGAAGGGAGGGAAGGAGGGAGGGAAGGGAGGGAAGGGGGAAAGAGAGGAAGGAAATAGAGAAAGAATAGGAAGAGAGGACGGGGGCGTGTCTGTCTCAGAGACGCAGAAAGGACAGCCTCCTTCATTGATTCCTTCTTCGAGGTGTAACGCCATTGAACTATCGAACTCTCCTGAACGCGCGCTGATCCCTCGCCGCCGATGCCCCGCGAACCCGAAGGAGAGCAGGGCGAGAAGAGCCTATCCCGCGAGTGGCATCCCTCTCAGCCTTCGGGAGTCCTTCGGGAGTCCTTCGGGAGTCCTTCGGGAGTCCTTCGGGTGGGCCATCGTCCTCGCCCTTCCCCTCGAGGTCCTCCGGCAGGGGAAGTGGGCGGGGTGGGTCTTCGCTGGGCGTGCGGGAGGCGGAGTGCCGGAATTCTTGAAGTAGCAATGCTGCTTGGAGTCGGCCCGCCCCGGATCGCACGCGGAGAGGGGGGGGGGGCGCTTGTTGCTAACATGTCGGAGGACGGGTGTGTGTGTGTGGGGGGGGATAATTGTCGATCAGGAACCTGCGGAAGGATGGGGAGAGGATGAGGGGAAGGGAGGGGGTTAGGGAAGAGGGGAGGAAAAACAGATAGGGAGAAGGAGGAAGAAACAGGAGGAAGGGAGAGGATAGGGAGAAGGAAGGGAAAGCGTGGAGAGGATGCAGCGACGGTGATGGCAACTTTCCCCTTCCATCCCCCCCCCCACCCCCCCACTGTGATGCGTTTTGTCCACGGCTCGTTGTGTTGTTGCGGTGCTAGAGGAAGCGCGGGAGTTTGCGGGCGAGGGTAACGAGCGTGAGAGTTAGATTCTCTCGCGAGCATCCCTTCCGCCCTCGACACGTGTATCTCTGCTCGAGTGGGGGGAATCAGGAGGAAAAGCTGGTTAAAGCTAGACCTCTGTGTGTGTGTTTGTGTGTATGTTTGTGTCTTTCTGCGTGTCTCTCTCTTTCTCTGTGTGTGCCATTCTCTCTGTGTCTCTTTGTGTGTCTTTGTGTCTGTTTGTATCTGCATCTGTATCTGTCTCTCTGTCAGTATCTATCTTGTCTTTTTTTTCTACCTGTGTGCGTGACGGACTGTGTTTATATTAAAACCATTTTTGTGAACCCATTTCTTAGCCCCATTTCCATCGCCTAACCGTCTCCCGCCACTTGCAGGTCTGAAGTACCTCCACTCCGCGAGGATTATCCACCGAGACATCAAGCCCGGGAACCTCCTCGTCAATTCCAACTGCGTTTTAAAGGTGAGGCGGGAAGAGGGGAGGCGACGGCGCGTGTGCCGCCCCTCTCTCTCTCTCTCTCTCTCTCTCCGTGTCTTTTTCTCTCTCCTCTCTCTCTCTCTCTGTCTTTATCTCTGTCTGTCTCTGTCTCTCTCTCTTCTCTGTCTGTCTGTCTCTCTCTCTCTCTTCTGTCTGTCTGTCTGTCTGTCTGTCTGTCTCTCTCTCTCTCTTTCCTAGCTTATCTTTTCCTCCCCCTCTCTCTCTTCCTCTTCCCCCCCCTCTCTCTTCCTCTTCTCCCCCCTCTCTCTCTTTCTTCCTCTTCTCCCGCCCTCTTTCTCTCTTTCTTCCTCTTCTCCCTCCCTCTCTCCTCTTCTCTTCCCCTCTTCTTCCCCCCCCCTCTCTCTTCCTCTTCTCCCCCCTCTCTCTCTTTCTTCCTCTTCTCCCGCCTTCTTTCTCTCTTTCTTCCTCTTCTCCCTCCCTCTCTTCCTCTTCTCCCACCCTCTCTTCCTCTTCTCCATCCCTCTCTTCCTCTTCTCCATCCCTCTCTTCCTCTTCTCCCTCCCTCACTCTCTCTCTTCCTCTTCATATTAAGGATTACCATGTGGAAAATGACAACTTGCCTTTATTACTTTTCACTTAAATGTTGCTATCCGTGATGTTCAGATAATATATGAATGAGTTTATGCTGGTCTTTACATTATATATATATGAAAATATATATGTAAACAACCTGTAATTATCATATGTTTTGCCTTTATGAATGAATTGAAGATGATATGCCTGTGTGCTTGTGCATACACTGACTTTTTTTTTTTTGGGGGGGGGGGTATAAATGGAATTTGAACGTACCTTAAGTACTTGTATTTCCTTGAAGATGTATTAAGCATGGACATGTTAGAATCAGGTTTACATTTACTGGCCTACATAAATATAGTTATAAGATAGAATAACCCCTCTTAATAACTTCTTTTCATATAACTGACTTGAATCCATCCAAGAACTGATGACATAAATCTTTCCAGATCTGTGATTTCGGCCTGGCTCGTGTCGAAGAACCTGATGAAAATAAGCACATGACACAGGAGGTAGTCACACAGTACTACAGAGCCCCAGAGTTGCTGATGGGAGCCCGCCATTACACCCAAGCAGTAGATGTGTGGTCTGTTGGCTGCATTTTCGGCGAGCTTTTGGGACGTCGTATTCTCTTCCAAGCCCAGAGTCCTGTACAGCAGGTAGGTTCCTTAGCATTTTGATAAAATATTTGGTATTTTGGATTTTTTGAAAGGGATTCAGTGTAAATAATGGATAAGGAACTGGTTTTGATTAACCTCTTTTTTTCCAGCTTGAGCGAATAACAGACCTGTTGGGAACACCAAACCTAGAAGACATGAAATATGCTTGTGAAGGAGCTGTGACCCACATGCTACGCCGACCCTCAAAACCACCCGCCCTCCCAGCCCTCTACACCCTCTCTTCCCACGCAACCCACGAGGCCGTCCACTTACTCACACAGATGCTTGCCTTTGACCCGGTAATTTCCATGGGGTTGCTCAGTGAAGTGGTTAGGGATCTTTAATCATTGAAGATTTGATTTTTTTTTTTTTTTTTTTTTTCCCCCAGATAGTTTGCTTCTGTGATTAAAAAAAAATATGGTGTTAATTAGCGTATGGAAAGAAAAGTGACTTTTTTTTTTTTGTATTCTTCATTATCGTTGTATAAAAAATGAAGGGTTAATTCAGTAAAGGACCTTGCTTTTATTTTCTTTTGAACTGAATGATCAAAACAAATGATAATAAATATTTAATAGTTGTAATTTCATGTGAATGTATTTAACAGTTATAATTTTACATGAATACATATAACAGTGGGTTCATCTGTTTTCCAGGATAAACGATTGAACGTGACAGAAGCTCTTGCACACCCTTACCTAGATGAAGGTCGCCTGCGGTATCATTCTTGCATGTGTACTTGCTGTGCTTCCACAAACTGCGGGGGCCGACAATATACACATGACTTTGAACCAACAGCACCTCATGCATTTGATGATACTTGGGAAAATGAGGTTGGTGCTAGGTCTTTGTATCGTTGGATGACTTCTTCAAAGAAGGAAATCTTTAGAAATGATGATCAGTTCCTTGACTCCAAAGGGACTATATTATTACATAGTAAAATATTGACCATTGAAGATTATTTGTAATTACTGTTTTTTTTTTTTTTGGCATCCAAATTTTTTCAGAAAGATTACAAGAATAGATGCAAAAAATACACAATGAAACTAAAATTGCAGAAATTGGGTATCCAGAGATGAGCTTTACTAATAGTGTCCCTCTGTTGCAGCTACACTCCATGTCACAGGTGAAGGATCGGTTGCACAAGTTCATCCTGAGCCACCTGGCGCGTGACCGTGTACCTCTATGTATCAACCCCATGTCTGCTGCTTACAAGAGCTTTGCCAGGTTAGCTTGAGCTTGTCTCTCATTATGAGATATATATTTAGGACACTTCCCTCTGAGTAGATTTTCTCTTAGGCATGAGCTCCATGAACTCAAAAAGTAGTTTGAGACTTCAGTTGCATTCATTCTTTCCTGTAGTAGAATTGCCTGTCTCAGCTAGTTGCTGTGTATCTATCACGTTTTGTATGTGTAAAGTCTTCAGGTATAGGGTTAATCTTGGCAGTGGTTTAGTCTTGTAGAAGTTTATAAAGGTTGCATGTGGAGTTAATGATGGAAAAGAAAAAAATAGAAATTAATATGGTGATGATAGAGAAGAATGTTTTTGTAGGTGTAGAGGATTTTAAAAATTCTTTTATTGTTAAGATAATTGATATTCTTTGAACAGTTGATGTTTGTAAGGAGGGAATTATAGGGAGTAGATGCAAAGAAAAAATGTTAAAAGCAAAGCAGCCTAACGTAAGGACATAGAAGATGGTTGCTCTGTTATACTTACTGTGGTAATCAAAAAAAGCCTTGTAATGCCACAGTAAATATCTTGTTGAAAAAAGAACTGTCTCATTATTGATTATTTACATATGTATGTGTGTATGTGTACGTGTGCACACTTGCTTGTTATGCACTTAGTCTGGAGTCATAGGCACACATACAATGCAAATCCCACACAGGCGCACATGCACTCACCTATTTATGCTTTCTTTTTGAATAATGTTAAATAGGAAGTGAGAATCACACACAACTTAACATTCACAAATTTATGCATGATGACTGGGATAATTGTACATGCTGAGAGAGAGAGAAAAACGAGTTGACTGATCATATTAATAGGTTGATTCATTGATGTGACTGATTGATAATTTTTTTCTGATTTCATAAATTTGATTATTATTTGGTTGATTGATCCATTGGTTGGTTGATAGGTTGATATTGATTTGATTGACTGAGTGGTTGGTTGACTCATTTATCCATAGAGGGATTAGTTGATTAGACGAATGACTGAGATATTGATTCAGCAAGTAGTAGGTTGATTGATTGATCAGGTGAATGATTAATAAATGAATTTGTTGATGGTTAATATGGGATTAATTGATTGACTGACTGCTGACGGATGGGTATTGCAAGTCTAGACACAAAGAAATCTACAAAATAAATTGATTAAACATCACACAAACACAAAAAATCCATATTAAATGCATTTTTTCTGTTATCAAAGAGAAAAATAATTGTTTAAAGAAAGAAGTATAATGTGACTTTGTTTTAAGATTACTGTAATTATATTTTGAATTTCCAATCTCTTAATGCCGGGGATATTGTTTCACCTTGTTTATTTTTTATGTGGGCTGATTATGCTGTACCAATATGGTATATAGAAAATAAAGGGAAAAATACTGCAAGATGAAAATATGATTTATTAATATTTTTTAAATCTTTCTAAAAGTTTTAGTATATTTGTGGTTGCATAGTGAATGATTTCTTTATTCAGTTTACTTGAATCAAATAGATCAGATAGTATTTAATCTCCTGGGTGCACATGCAGATATATGACATATGATCAGAGATAATCTTTTTATCTTTTTATTTTAAAATTTAAAAAATTTAAATACCAAATTTGGTATTGTCTATCAGTGGACATATATTAGTAGGAGAAAATGGTGAAGATATGCATGTTGGGTATATATTGCTTTAAGTGAATAAAGGTATGCTTGTCCAAAGGTATTTTCAGCCTAACTGCCTAACAATGGATTTAGCAAATGTTTTGTTCATTTAAACTTTCATCTATAACTCAAGCATTGATATGTTCACATTAATGCACTAAAATCATGACATAGAGTGCACTATCTTAAACCTATTGATGCTTATGTAGTATTTAAAAGTTTAAATTTGCATAACATTCAATAGATGCATTTTTTGGGCATTGGGACTTAAAACATCCTTGGACGTGTATACCCTTCCTTATATTATCAATATTTTTATTAGTTTATTTTTGAAATTCTTTTTGTTAGGGGTGTGTAAAAATTTTCCTTGCATTATTTCAAAGTCTAAGAAATTCTTATTTGATGAAATTATATATCTTTCTGGCAAATGAAGAGGAAATTCAATATATTATAGCTAAAAAAAATACTAAAAATAGGGCAGATGTATGTATTGTTTCCCATATTATTTTAAGAGAAGTGAGGAACTTGCTCTGATTTAGAATAAGGTTATATACATAAATAATTTTCTCTTGTTTGCAATTTCTTTAATTTTATCAGAATGAAATACAGATCAGTAGACTAACTTGTTTTGAAGTAGTAATTGTGCGATTGTTTTGCTCGTCGGCCAACTTTCAGTATTCTAAATGATCATTCTGTAGTCTATACCATGGTCATCTTGCATTAACTCAGCTCATTACACTTCAAAAGTTCATTATTATAACTTCCTCTTGTGGTTATATCACGAAATGATATTTGATGTGTTGAATCACAAAGAAGTTTTTTTCTTGTAATATATGGGACTAACATTCTGTATGAAAACTTTTCCTTTTTTATCCTCTTGAACTTAGAATACACTAACTCAAAATTGATCACAATATCAGTTACATTTGACATTATGTTAATGCTAAGAATAACAGTTGAACAGTGATTGCTTGCATTGCTACCAGTGGGATTTCTGATTTCCCAGTGTCTCTATCCTCTAGTCATAATTCATGTTTTGTAAAGGAAATCTGTTTTTACCAAGTAGCAAACTTTTCTCTGGAAACCTAGTGCTCTTCACGTCATCCTTGAATGATGGGTATTTTTTATATGTAACATCTTGTCATATGTAAATAAAAGTATCCAAATGATTGCTTGTTTAATTACATCACTAGGTTGAGATACATCCCCATGGAGAATCATTGATTTAGGTTTGAGTAAATTAATTTATGGGTTGATTGGTTGGGCCATTTGAATGTGGTTGATTATGAATTGATTACATGATAAGGAGCCAGTCTTTTCATTCTGTAATTTGCAGATTTGCAGGTTCTTGTAGTAAAACTTTTGAGATTATTGTCCTTTATACTCTCCTTACTTCTGCTGTATATACTTGATTTTTAAAAATTTTATATAGCCTAAACTGCATGTGAGAAGAAGGAATAGAAGTAACTGACAAAATTTATTTTAAAGAATGCCAGGTGATCATATTCAATGATAATTGAATTGTTTTTCAAGTATCCCTTGTGAATGCAATTTATCTTTTGTATTCTTGATTTTGAAAGTGAAACTTGCTGAAAATACTAGTATGAAGACAATAATAATATATACTTTAATGTAATATTCAATATTATTTCCTAAAGTGCTCAGATTATTAAGATTTTTTATTTTATATTCCAGCTCGACAGTTGCTCATCCTTCCGAGCTCCCGCCTTCCCCACACCAGTGGGATTGACAGGACGCCAAACACTAGCGTCAAAGAACTTAGTGCCCCTAAAACATGCCTGTGAAAGAGCATACAGAGACGCAGGTTGTGTGAATCGAAGTACACTTGTGTGAAAGTGAGAGAGAGAGCTCAAGATTCTTAAACTGTTGGGACTGGTCCATAGTAAGGTGGTAAAGTCGGTTTCCTTGCATTTGACCTGAAATTATTCCAAATATGCTGACAATCGTAAATCAGAGTGTAGGCATTTACCATTGCAATTGGATATGAACACATGGTCCAGTTCTTTACAGTTTGTAGGATGGGATCATTCTTCTTTCTTTTTTTCTTTTTTAATCATTGATTTAAAACTTTCATATCATGCATTCACCTTTTTCCATAGAATCTGATTTCATGAAAGGGCTCACAAGTAAAAACAAAAAATAATAAAAAATAAAAAAAATGGGAAAGATAAGAAAAATGACAAGGTCAGTGAATTGACTGTTTAAAGGCGAGTGTAAGTTTCAAGTACGACTGACTCTGTGAAGATGTACCCAGGATCACGAGAGTATATTGCAGAAGCAGTGAAATAATGGTAAGAAAAAGTCTCAATGAATTGATATATATGACTGTTGAACAGAAAGAGAAAAGAAGAAAAAAAAAAAGGCTCACATTAGAATGTGTTTGAGGCTTCATGTGCCAGTTCCTTAGTCAGACAAATCACTGCCATGTACACTAAGGGTAATGTGTGTGTGTGTGATATGGCCTCGTCCCCCTACCATATACATGTATTGACTGCTGGGTACTAGAGTGGAAGCATCCCCCTGTGCTGTGGATGATGAGCAAGCGACAAGGACGAAGATTTTCCCAAAGGTCTTATCGATTGAGAAATGATCCAGCATAACTTGGACACCCTCAACGCTCAACGCACCATGATCTCTTTTTTTGCCCGGGCTCCTTATTGTGAGGCTGCTGCTGACATTTGGAAGGTAGCTGAAGCCTACAAGGTTGACGATTATATGTGAAGATTCTGCTTAATGTGATCAATAAGGAATTACCCTCACCTGAGAAGACGATAAAAAAGAAAAAAAAATTATATCCATAAGTTTAGTATGATATCAATCAGGATGATTATGAATATCTTCGTGATTAGATTGATTTTTAAGATTTTTTTATAAAATGATTCCAGTTTACAGAAATTAGTGTTATGTAAGAGGGGTTGAATTTGTGATAACATTAGTGCAGACTTTTTGTATATTCAGATAATGTCTTGTCAGATGGTCTCTTGTAGTACCAGGGTTTCATTTCTATGCATCAGTTATTAGCCAGAAAAAAAAAAAAAAAATCTGCATTTAAGGAATTTCTTTACATCATATATTTTTTTTTCGACTAAAAATTCTAAATGTAGGGCAGTCCTTTGCCTCTCTTGTCTGGCACTTAATTAATGCTTAGGAATCTGGCTCGGACTCTCAACCCTTGCTCTCAGGAATTACAGTGTACACAAGTGCTTTTAGTTTTGCCTTGTTTTACAAATCATCAGCCAATGCATTTTTATTTTAATCAATTTTATTTATACTTTTTTTTTTTTTTTTTTTTTTTTTTTCAATTAAATTTTGCTGGTGATTTCAACTGTTAACTACGTTTGAAGTGGATGAAAAGTATTCCTTTCTGTTCTCAGTGTTTTAACATTTTAAAAAATATATCCCTTTTGTTAAAGGTCTTTTGAAGTTTCACCATTTAAAAAATGGTGTATGTCAAGACTTCAAGTGAATTTTATGTGCAATGTAATTTAAATTTGGTATTAAGATGTTCAGGAAAGAAATTACTATTGAATTTTTTGGTGTGATTCAGGAAGATCACTGTAACACCACCAGACCAGGATTTAGGAAGACTGTGATAATTCTGGAAATGATTGTGAGAAGGTACAGTGAGATGGTTCTTCAAGCTGTCTGCTCAACGACTCATGCACTGCGAGTAGAAGCTGTATAAGGGTAATCACTTCTTAAGGTGCTCACACTTTTATAGAATTGCAGCTCTTGAGTGGTCTCTTACCTATACTATGTCACAGGTTGGAACGAGATGACAAGACTGCACACGGTCAACAGAGAAACTGTTTCCTCGAGTGCCGTGGGAAGCATTACATTTTTTTTTTTTTTTACTATGTATGTGTGATCATGATGTTCTTCTCTATAGTCCAGCTTGATTATACCATTATGAGGGAGGTATTTAGACTTACATGGTAATGTGCATACAAAAGAATAACTGACAGAAAAGTGTCCTGTATGTTGTATGGTTTTCTAGTAGTTACAGTTCACTCAGCTTAGAAAAATTGATGACTGAGAGAAAGAATCAGAGAGAAAAGAAAAAGGGGATAGCTGAATTTCCCTTTCCTAATTTGTATGAAAAAAGAGGAAAAGAAGATTGGATAGTAGTTTCCTCTTTTATGATGAAGAAAAAAAACTTGAAATGAAAAGAAAGAAAAAAAAAAAAAAAAAAAAAACAGAAACAAGGATGTGGAGTTTAGCCATGATATACACTGACTACCTCACATGATTTTCATTGCCGCAGCTGGTTCTATCATGCTGCTTGTCGTATTTTCGTTTGTTGATATTTGTAGAGTGTACAACCTACAAGCTCAAGCAAGGTATATGATCAGTCCAGAAGTTTTTTGATATGCTCCATTACCCTTATGGTGTCTTAACTATTGTTTTGTAATATATAATTTTTTCATAAGACTGAGTGAACATTATTCATTATTGTTAATGTGATTACAGTTATGATTTTCTTAATTTATAACTACTCTCTCTATTTATTTATCCATGCTAGCTTCTTTTTCCATTGTTGTTAACAATTTAGGATCATTTCTTGTAAACAATCATGCTATAAGCAACCTCCTTTCACACTAGGGTATATTAGGGAATTAATGCTCAAAAAGAATTTGTACTATATTCATCCATTTTTATATATTTATTATTTATCTTTTTTAAAAAATAAAACAAAGAGTGAGGTTTGTCTTTAAAGAAGTATTATGTTACTCATGGAAATTAAATGGCACTATCTTGATGCCATTTGTAATGTACTTTCTGTTGGCTACCACATACTGTTGAATTTGTTTATTGTAACAAAAAGGTTATGTTGATATGTTATGTGGTAAAGTGCTCCTTTATTTTTACTTATTTGATTTCCTTTTACACTTTTCATTTACTGTTTACCAAATGAAAAGGCCATGATAACAGTATTCCACCTGTAATAAGTATGGATAAGCAAAGCCGTGATGTAACGTGTGAATAAAGAGTGGAAACGTCTCAAGCCAAGTTAACGCTAATTGTGGGTGCCATCACTACTCAGACTACAGGAGCATATTGATGGCCAGAAGCTTCAGACAATGTGATCCCATTTGCTATTATTACATGTATAATATTAATTTTATCCATGGAGATGCTGCTCCCATTATTATTATTTTTTGTATGGTTTTCCTTCAGATTCTATTCAATTTTATGATTATTGGACAACTTTGCTTAAATCTTAGTCTGATTTATGCGATTGGCATTGTCATAACTAACTTTCTCCCTCCCTTTGACAATTTTTACCCTTTGGTTGATGGTTTCACATTACAACTGAAGCGTCCAGAAAGATCTCCAAGTCACTCCCCATCCTTGAGTGGCTGCATGCATGTGCTTCCTAAGGATGGGGATGCAACAAATACGTGTAGATATTACTTGTACAGCATTGTAGTATGGGAGTGAGTGCAGTGTGAGGATTGTTGCATAAATCAAGTTGTGAAAGACCTTGAATGGCAAGGTGCAGCTCGAATTTTGGTCGACTGTATTTTTTTTTTCTTTTTTTAGTAGTGAGTTGTGAATGTAACAGTTATTGTGCCTGCCATTCAATCTTCCTGATTATGTATATTAAATTATGATTTACTAGGATAAGTTTTTTTTCTATTATTATTATTATTTCCCCCCCCCCAATCTGTAAGTGTAGTGAAATTTTGTAAATTGCAGTTGCAGACTAATTCAAGAATCAGTTTAAGGAGAACATATTTTTAAACATCCATTTTTACGCCTGTTTTATTTTAAAAAATGAAAATGCATGATTATTTATAGGAGTCCTTATGGATGATGTATAGGTTGCATCTTCAGCTATGAAACATTGGCAACTGAAATGTGTATAAGAGTATGAGCAATTTTTGTACGTTTTTACCGAGATGTTGAGGTCAGATGTTTTCTTATGGGTCAGGTATGATCCATCTCTTAATGTTTTTTACCCGACAGTGCGGGTATTTGTGTGTTTTGCATGAAGACTGTTCCACTGTTTTCTCATAACTGTGGCAAGATCAGATTTGGATGGTGTAGATGTTAGTATAAATGGTATTGTTACTGTGTATCACAGCACCTACCATGAAGATAAGCAGTAGGATCAAGAGGACATGCTCCAGTGCGAGTTGATCCTTGTGAAGTATTTCAGTAGGCGGTCTTGCCACATTATAACTGTATTACTAGTAACAGTCTCCCATCTTAGAGCTCCTACTAATAAGGCACAGAACAGTGTGACGAATTTAGGCTGAGTTCCTAGAAGACACCTCATCAGTAGCGAGGAAGTGCTACCTCTCATATAACTAGCCAACACTTTGAACCATCATTCAACAACCACAAACAAACCTGCTTTATTACTTTGCTCGAAGTGGCGTTTCAAGAATTACTTCCTACGATTTAGCTGCTATACGGGACCGACACTCACTGTTAATATGTTGCAATATTACTGAAAGGCAAGAATGTTCATTGCCTTAAAAAATGTCTCGCCGAGCATTTGTCAACGGAACATTGTCATAACTGCCCACATTTTGGTGTATTCTTTTAAGCATTATGCCCTACGTGGTCATACGTGATAATAAAATAATTTTTGTACTTGCATTGTTTTTTACTGTCACAGACACACTCCTTATAAGATATGAATGTCCCAAGAATTTGGATATAAACAGGTTACAGGAATGCTGAGATTATTACAACTGAAAGTCATTTATCAATAAAAAATTTGTTTTGATATATCTTTGAAAAGTAATAATAATAATATAATAGTCAGTGTAAAACAAATTCATCTTTTGTAGATGATACTCCTCGCAGCCAATCATATGCCCACTGTTGTTGTGGGGGCTGGGGGGGTTAGGAGAAGGAGACCAAGGCCCAAAGTTGGGGCACTACCTTGGACCTCAAGCCCTCGGTTCAAAGGATAAAAAAAACTGGCTATGCATCAATCCTGAACGGTCTCAGGGAATCATGGGCACGTTATTCCTCTCTTAAGTTATCTAGCCCTTACACTACCTGTGTGATCAGTAAAGGAACATCAATAATCATGTAAAATTAATAAAATATCAAGTAACATCAACACAGTATCAGGTCCTGAGGGTTTAATCAGTCCTCTTCCCCAAATACTCGAGGCTAGTGATGATTTTGTAATCATCTTAGGGGCACTGAAGATTCCCCATTTACCAACAACTCTCACTGACTTTTCCATGGTTCCCTGCCTCTTAGCTCTTCTTTGATCACAACTCTGAGCGCTGATACTACTCCCCCCTCCTCAATACCTGTTGTCAGCTTAGTCCATTCTAAGACATCTACCCAGGTCATTCCCCCAATTCCTTGCCCGTTGTTGTCGTGGGGATGGGGGGGCTTAGGAGACAGACTGAGGCCCAATATAGGGAATCATCCCTACCTTGGACCTCAGCCTCCAGCTCAACTAATTTTGCATGGCCTTTCTCATCCTTCTTTCATATTTACTTCCCCCAATCCCTTGTCCGTTGTTGTCGTGGGGGGGAGGGCTTAGGAGTCGGAGATTGAGACCCAATGCAGGGATGTCCCCTGCCTAGGGCCTCAGCCGCGCGAGACTCGACAAATTTTGCATGGCCTTTTCTCCCTCCAGCTTTCTGTTTCCGTCCCTTCTCCACCCCTTCTACTATCTACTTCCTAAGGTGTAAGAGCCGTGCTGAAAGGATGAAAGGCTGACCTTGTGCCAGTCCTGTACGGCCTGCGGGAACCATGGGCACGGTATTCCTCTGATTTAGTTGTCTAGTCCTTACCCCCTTAATGGGCACTGAGGGGGTGGACATTTCCCCTACATAATCAAGGCTTCCCATGGCCAGTAATGAAGTAATACCCATATTAGAGGCAATGAAGCTTGCCCCTTCATCAAATAGCCCCACCAATTCAGACTCTACCGGCTCCCCGACCCAGGCTCTTCTTTGACCACAGCTTTGAACACTAAAACTACTACCCACTCCTCAATGCCTACTAGTGCATTACCCACTCAAGCCGAGACTCAGTCTCCAGAAGACATTCCTACCCTCCCAACTTCCTCAACATCATCAACTCGACCCCTATAACCTTCTTCATCAAAGACCCCAACCTCCCTTATCACTGCCTTACAGCCTTATTCTCCATCTCTCCGTAATACTACCCCCCTTAACAACACTCCCTCTTCCACACGTCCCCTTCCTTCTACCACCACCAACCCTACAAATATCTTAAATACTCTTATTTAGCCCAGCTAAATGGGACCGATTTTTCATGATCCCCCTACAGCTCCTTACTCAGGCAACACTCTTCTCTTACAACAAAAACATGTAGGCAAAATCCCTTTCCATACTAGACGCGATCGCTCCCGTCTTGTAACAGTCAGATCTGAAACTGTGAAGCTATAGCATTATCAAATCTAACTGATCACTCTGGCAACCCCATTCCTGCAGAACCTCATCCAGCTCTTAATACTTGTACCGGAAATGTCCAGCAAACTGCCCAGTCGATACCAAAGATTGGTCAGACGGTGGAGAAGACTTACTCGAATGCCTCAAAGTCCAAGACGTGAAGTCAGTACATTGCTACACCATTCCTCCTAGAGGTCATCGAAAGAAACCCACCAACATTGCCAAAATTACTTTCAGCACACATGACCTTCCCGTCCGTATCTGCATTGGCGGACAATCCCTCCCTGTTCGACCATACCAACCTCCTCCCCGTCAATGTCAAAATTGTTGGCGAACACTGCCGTTCCACAGATCGATGCCCCATATGTGCCCAATCCGGTCATAACCGATCAAACTGCTCTGCACAAATACGTACATATACTAACTGTGGCGGCCCCCATAATGTATTTTATAGATGCTGTCCCACTTACAAGTTCGAGTCTGAGGTAGTAACCCTCAGATACAAAAATGGTCTCACTTAAGTGAAGCCAGACAGGAAGCACGTCGACAAGGTTTCTCTCTCATACTACTTACTCTAGTAATGTCGCTCGCTCTGCCCCTCCCCCTCCACCTCAAGATGTTCCTACACCCTCCTCTATACCTACTTCCCCACTTCCACTTCTACATTCTACCTCCCCCAGTCAAATTCGTTTGCTACTATAAACCCAGACACTCCAATCTCGACTACAGCCTCAACACCGTCCCCTCTCCCTCCTCGCACTACCCGCAGCAGACAGACTAAACGTCCCCCCCCTTCTTCCCTACCGCACACTCACCTCCACCTACCTTTGCCTTTATTCCTCAGAAACCAGTGTCCTCTTCCCCCCTCATAAGGAAACCTTTGTCTCTCCAACCAACTCCACTGCTGAAACTATAAAAGATATCCAAAACTATATGCTTGAGACACAAAATTCCACAACTCATGCTCCCTCCATACTCGAAGTGACTGCCGATATCCATCCCCCTCCTGCTCATATTCCCTCTTTACTCTTCACCCCTCCTTACCCTCTCAACACAACCTAACCCCCTCGATTCCGCCTACTACCGATAGCCATCCTCCTGATACTACCGATATCAATCCTCCTCCTACTCATATTCCCCCTACACCCCTTCCTCCTACTCCCTCCCGACACAACCTATCCCCCTCAACTCCAACTACACGTACATTCTCCCTCCCTCCAACCCCTCTATCATTTCCACTCCCTCCTGGATACACACGTGAAACACTTATGTAATTCCCTTACCTAATGCCACCATGGCCCCTTCACACAGCAACTTCTTTACCCATCTTTAGCCTTTCAAGATCACTCTAGATAGTTGACGCATAGCAACTATCACCCTTCACCCCTCCTTTAATATACTTTCCTATAGTGCTATATGACCTTAGATGTCTAGCACATTTTTTATTATTTTTATGAAAAATGCTTTTTAACCATTAACTACAACCTCCCTTATGCCTACTCACCGCACCAAACAAACAAAGCGTTCCACCCCATCGTCACCTATAGCTACATTTTCTACCCTAGAGAACCTCCGAAACTTCCATGCTTACACTGACGGCCCCAAATCCACATCTGGTGCTGGTTTCGCTGTTGTACTACCAACCTACACATTCAAATACCCCCTACCTCCTGAGTCCAGTGTTCTTACTACTGAGCTGTACGCAATCCTTTACACCTTAAAAGATATATACTTTCTCCTTCTCTTTCATATTTTTTTACTGACTATCGTAAACTCACTAGCTTATAAAGTCTATACAGAATCCAGAATCCCATTTTCTCTTGATCTAATTGTTTCCAACCCATCTTCTAACCACATCCTTCCATATTTACCTCTCCATCCGCCCTTCAAACATCTGTCCCCTCTTCTCCCCCTCATACGAAAACCCTCGCTTCCAGCCCTCCCTAACAAAACCCATTTCAGAAACTCGCAAGGAAATTCAGAGCTGTCTAAACATGATCCAAGGTAACATGCTTACCTCATCCATCCCCCAATCTTTCTGCTTCCATTCCCTATACACACAGAATGACTGCCGACGTCCATCCAACTCGCACACGTGTTCCCCCTACACCCTTTCCTCCCAACACATCCCACCCTGCTTCATCTGCATCACCCCCCCCCCCTTTATCCCTCTCAGTTATAGCTTCCCATTCATCACAACAATGTTTTTCTCTGGATCCTCGCCCTCCTGACATTTCTCATGAAACTGTTCTTTGACTTAATCGCCCTTTCCCCCCCCCCTTTTCTCCTCCTTTTGCTAATCCCTACCTTACCCATGGACATCCTTGCAGAATCCATTTATTCCTTTCGATTCTATATTGTCACCCTCTCTACCCCTCTACCATACCATCCTAAACTGCCTGTACGGACTTTTGACGTGTAGCACATTTTGGACCAACTTACCCCCGTCCTTTTATATTCACAAGTAACACATTCTATGTGCTAATGACCTTTGGTGCCAAACACATTCATTTTGCTTTGTAATCATTAACCCTCTTGGTCCCTCACATCTGTCATCCTCTCCTCCCTCTCATAAGAAAGACCTTCGTTTCTCGTAACCTCCCTCAACCAACTCCCTTTCAGGAACTCTTGATGACATTAAAAAATGTTTAAATATGTAAAGACAAGAGACGGGAGATACGGGAAAAAGAAAACGGAAGAAAAAATAAAAATAGAGAAAAGAGAGAGAGAAAGAGGGAGAGAGAGAGAGAGAGAGAAGAGAGAGAGAGAAGAGAGAGAAGAGAGAGAGAGAGAGAGGAGAGAGAGAGAGAGATAAGAGAGAGAGAGAGAGAGAGGGTAAAGAGAACTAGACTCTCTTCAGTAAAAAGAAGAGATAGATAGATGAAGAGAGAGAAAAGTAAGAGAGGAGGGGAGAGAGAGAGAGAGAGAGAGAGAGAGAGAGAGAGAGAAGAGAGAGAGAGAGAGAGAGAGGGAGAGAGAGAGAGAGAGAGAGAGAGAGCCAGAAAGAAGAGAGAGAGAGAGAGAGAAGAGAGAAAGAGAAAGAAAGAGAAAGAGAGAGAGAGAGTAAAAGAGAGAGAGAGAGAGAGAAATAAGAAAGAGAGAGAGAGAGAGAAGAAAGAGAGAGTAAAGAGAGAAGAGAGAAAGTAAAGAGAGAGAAAAGAGAAGTAAAGAAAAGAGAAGGGGAGAAGTAAAGAAAGAGAGAGAGAAGTAA